AGAGAGAGGAGAAAAAGGAAGCAATTAACATCAAGAAAAGATAAAATATTCATGAATGGAAATCAGAGGAACAGAAGTTTAATGAGATTTGTGATTAAATTGTTTCGTGCCATGTAATCGTTTCAATTATATTTGTCTATCTCTTTCTTCTTTCGTTTTTTTTTTTTCTTTCTTTCTTTTTTTTCTTTCTCTTTTTTTTTTTCTGTCTTTTCTTTTTCTCTTTCTCCCATTTTTTTTTCTTTTTCTCTTGTAATCTTTTTGTCACTCTCTCTCTCTGTTTCTCCTCCCGCCTCTCTCTCTAAAGAAGAAGAAAAGAAAAAAGACAGAGAAGAAAAAGATAAAAGAAAAGAAAAGATAAAAGAAGAAAAAAGAAAAGAAAAAGATAAAGAAGAAAAAAGAAAAGAAAAGATAAAGAAGAAAAAAGAAAAAGAAAAAAGATAAAGAAGAAAAAAGATTAAAGAAGAAGAAAAAAAGAAGAGAAAAGATAAAGAAGAAGAAAAAAAGATAAAGAAGAAGAAGAAAAAAGATTAAAGAAGAAAAAAAGAAAAGAAAAAAGAAAAAAAGAAAAAAAGAAAAAAGACAGAAGACAAAAAAAAAATCAAAGAACAGAAAGAGAAAGCCCCCTAAAAAGCGCTCCCCACGCCCAAAAAAAAAAAAAAATAATAATAAAAAAGCCCGCCCAGCGCAAAAAAAAAAAAAAGAAAAAAAAAAAAAAGATAATAATAATAATAAAAAAATACACCGCCCACACACCCATCTAACTGGCCGACTTCGCCGCAAGCCATCGAGAAGCGAGAGACGCGGGGGGGGGGGGGGGGGGCAGAGCGAGCCTTGTTTGGACCTGCCGGTTGAGGCAGACGGCCAACACGCGAGGCGAGAGAGGGGGTGGGGGGGAGGGGGGGCATGGGGGTTGAAGGACCTTTGCTAGGGGGAGGGGAGGAGGAGGGGGGAGGGGAGTGGGAGGGTGAAGGGGGTGAAGGACCTTTTTCGCTAGGGGGAGGGGAGGAAGAGGGGGAAGGGAGGAGGGGGGAGGGTGAAGGGATGGAGGGGGGAGGGGAAGGGGAAGGAGAGTGGGGGAGAGGGTGAAGGACCTTTGCTAGGGGAGTTGGGAGGAGGGGGAGGTTGGAGGGGGGAAGGGTAAGGGGGTGAAGGATCTGCTAGGGGAGGGGAAGGAGGGGAGGGTGAAAGGAGGGGAGGAAGGGAGGGGGGATGATCTTTGCTAGGGGGATCGGGGTAGGGGGGAGGGGGTGAAGGACCTTTGCTGGGGGGAGAGGGGAGGGAGGGGGAGGTGAAGGGAGGGGGCGGGGGAGGGGATGATCTTTTGCTAGGGCGATGGGCTAGGGGGGAGGGGGTGAAAGGACCTTGCTAGGGAGAGGGAGGAGGGAGGGTGAAGGGAGGGGAGGGGGAGGATTTTTGCTTGGGGGAAGGGGGAGGAGGGAAGGTGAAGGAGGGGAGGGGAGTAAGGGGGAAGGGGGTATTGAAGGGATACTATACTAGGGACCTGGGTGTCACGTGACTGTCTCGCACGGTAAATCCCAGTCGCGGTATGATGTGCGGACTGGCGTGGGGTTGCGTATCGATTGTAGGCGCCGAAGAAATAACGGGTGAAAGGACCTTTTCTGGGTAAAGGGGGGGGGTCTATATAAGCGAAAATGGGTTCTGTTCAGGGGAGAGGGGAGGCGGTGTAGTGGTGGAGAAGCGGGTTTGGGCGTGTGGGCAAAGGGGGGACGTGGTGTGTGAGGGGGATGGAGAGGGGGGGGGGGGCTCTGAGGAGGACGTGGTAGAAAAGAGAAGAGAGAGCAGAGACGAGAGGAGGACAGACAGAGAGACAGACGAGAGACGAGAGTGAGAGAGAGAGAAAATGAGAGAGAGAAGAGAGCAGAGAGATGATGAGAGAGAGGAGAGAGAGAGAGAGAGAGAGAGAGAGAAGAGAGAGAGCAGATGGCAGAGAGAGAGAGACGAGACAGAGAGAGAGAGAGAGTATGACGAGAGAGAGAAGAGAGAGAGGAGAGGAGAAGAGAGAATGGAAGAGAGAAAGAGGAGGGAGAGAGAGGAAGAAAGGAGAGAGATAAGATAGATAGAATAGATGGCAACTACAGATAAGGATCAGTAAGGCATAAGACCTAGATGCAGTAGAGCACGTACGGATGGAGAGAGGAGAGAGAAGAGAGAGCACGAGAAACAAGGGAGGAGAGAGGAGAAAGAGAGAGAGAGAGAGAGAGAGAGAGAGATGCTGAGAGACACGGACGAGAGAGAAGAGACAAGAGAGAGAAGAGAGAGAGAGAGAGTGAGAGAGAGTAGAGAAGAAGAGAGAGAGAGAGAGAGTAAGCAGAGAGGACGAGAGATGGAGGAGAGGAGAGGAAGAGATAGGACGAAGAAGAGAGAGGCGCAGAGCGGGGGCAGCAGCAGAGAGAGAGAAAGGAGGAGGAATCCCGAAGGACGGGAGAGGAGATGAGAGAGATAAGATAGAGAGAGAGAGAGAGAGAGAGAGAGAGAGAGAGAGAGAGAGAGGAGAGAGAGAGAGAGAGAGAGAGAGAGAGAGTGAGAGAGAGTGAGAGGATGAGAGAGAGAGAGAGAGAGAAAGAGAGAGAGAAGAGCACGAAGAGAGAGAGAGAGAGAGAGAGAGAGGAGAGGAGAGAGAGAGAGAGAGAGAGAGAGATAGAGATGAGGATCCTAATCCCTCAGAGTCAAAAGCCATTTCAAATTGTAATTTGGTACCAATTTAAGCCAAAGGATTTTAAATTCTCCGCTTTACTTCAATTTATTATCATTTTATATCACTTCAAAAAAATAGATATATAAAGATCGGTGATGCTTGATTATCTAAAAAGATAACTCTTTTTCATTCGTGTTTTATTGTCTTTGTTATAGCTGCTGTCGTTGGCATTATCACTGGCACTTTATAATCATCATCATCACCATTATCTTCCTCCCACGTTATCATTTCGTCTTCATTTTAACCGTCATCCTCCTCACCCATCATCATCATCCACCCTTTCTGCTCTTCTCCTCCCATCAACATTCCCCACCCCTCCCCTCCTCCTCCCTCCACTCCTTTCCTCTCCACCACAATCCCCTTCCTCCCTCCCTCTTCCTCCCTTCCCACTTGCTTCCTCCTCCTCCTCCTCCCTTCCACTTCCTCCTCCTCCTTCCCAACACCAATCCCCCTTCCTCCCTCCCTCCTCCTCCCTTCCACTTGCTCCTCCTCCCTTCCACTTCCACTTCCTCATCATCATCACCATCCCCCTCCTTCCTTCTCCTCCTCCTGCTCCTCCCTTCCTTCTCCCTGCTCCTCCTCCTCTCCCCACAATCACCATCCCCCCTTCCTCCCTCCCTCCTCCTCTCCTAACAACCCGACTTCCCAACTTCCACCAAACTTGACCCCTGACCTGACCTGACCTGCCCCTAGTCACCTCAACCACCTGAAAAATGATAACCTGAACTCTCACCATAACTCACAACTCACTCCATGCACAAAATACATGGCTTTGGGTTCCTCATAAACCACGTTTTCTTAACTTGGGTCGAAAATTGTTTTAGTTCTAAGAGTGTGTTGTTGTGCATATGTTGTTTTTGTGTTTAATGTATTTTTATTATTTTTTTCTGATTTTTTATTGTTATTGGTTTTATTTATCATTTATTATTATTATCATTATTACTATCATTTTTATTATTATCATTATGTATTATTATTATCATTATTGTTCATATTATTTATATTATTATTAGTATTGTTATTATTATTGTTTTTTTATAATTATTGTTATTTTTAGCAATGTACAATGTGCTCTCTTTCTCTCTGTCTATGTCTGTATTCTCTCTCTTCTCTCTCCTCTTCTCTTCCTCTCTCCTCTCTCTCTTCTCTCTCTCTCAGCGTGTTGGTCTAGCAGTCTTGCTGACCTGCGTTCGATCCCGCGCGCTGCCAGTGGATGGACACCCCGGCCATTCCTTGCACACAAGGGGAGATTTAGAAGCAAAATAAAACAGACAGCATGTCACACCAAAGAATATCCATTGTAGCAAATGGAATTAAAACAAAATCTTTAAATCTTTGAAATCTATTATCTTTATCTTACTGTTATTATCATTATCTTTATTCTTAATATCATTACTATTATCATCATTATTGATAATATTGTTATTATCATTATCACCATCATCATCATTATTATCATCATTTTTATTTCTACTGTCGTCTTTATTAGTATCATCATCATTACTAGTATTATCATCATAATTTTCATTATCATCATTATCATCACAATCAGCATTGTTTTCATTATCTTCAACAGTACTACTATTATCAGCAACAGCATCACAATCATCATCATCATCATCATAATCATCATCATCATCATACTCATCATAATCATTATACTCCATATACACTTTTAATCAGAAAAGTTTATTTTTTATCCAGTACTTAATTCTGTACACCTTTTATTAAAATGAATCCCAACCATTTCTCTTTCCAGTACAATTATTCATTTTTTATTTATATATTTCTTATAGCACCACGACGGTAACTAATTTCGACTCCTAATTACACGCATTTCCTTAACATAAACAAGTACTTCTCTTGTTTACTAAATAACTCCCGGTTTGTTTATCGTTAGATGAGCACGGACCTTCTTACTGTATAAAATCAGGGTTTTGTTTTAGAGGCCTGCAAATATTTATGCGGAAAAAAATTGGCCTATAATTCTTTTGTCTCTATAGTGGGGTTTGATATATATGTATATATGTATATATATATATATATATATATATATATATATATATTATAATATATATATATATATATATATATATGTATATATATATATATATATATATATATATATATATATATATATATATATATATATATATATATATATATATATATATATTGCGTGCGTGTGTGTGTGTGTAGGTGAGGAAAATCACTATGGTAACTGTAGACATGTCAGTAAAGTATGTGGCACCGTTAGTAAACATTTCTGGAACGTGTCGGGAACATGTCAGAAACACGTTCGCGCCACAGGTTCCGCTCAAAGGCTATCCTGTCCCTGCAGACAATGGACACCGGGAAGATTGAGTACGTCTTGCCTGTTGCAGCTGCAGCGGTTGCAACACGCACTGGTGGGAGATGTTGACGCTGCTAGAAAGAGGGGGGGGGGAGGGGGAGGAGGTCGGGAGGGGGGATGGGGGGTATGAGGGGGGAGGGGCGGGGGGTATGTGAGGTTGCAATGCCGCACGTGGGTATTGCATGATCCTAAGTGATATTCCAACAGGATGATTGTTCTTCATTTTGTTCTTCATAAAGTATACATTAAGGTGAGGAAGAGGGAGGGACAAGGATACAAAAGTTACATATAAAAGCGACCATTTCATCAAATTCAAAACTCATTTCGGAGGCGTAGTATAACTGCTTTTTCATCACTGATTTTACTCTAAGTCTACATTGTATAACAATATCATAATAAAACCCCGTATAACATCAAAATCGTATTAGAATACGTTATATGCGGGTTTAATATATCATGCTGTTTCATTTGATTACGGACTTAAATCCATTGAACCATAAGCTATAAAAAATATACAAAAATATAACATATAAAACCACATATGGCTTTATATTCACATTTAAATACATTTTAATCGACTGTAACTTTTTGACGTCAAAAACATTCACTGGCAACCTAATTTCGTCACCATTCAGAAACAGCTGATTGTGTGGCCCGACTTGTCTGGAACATGTTGGTACGACTGTTGCATTAGTATGTGTGAGGCGATATGTTGGTAGTTGTGGTGTAAACGATGTGGTGATTTGGGGAATTCTCTCTCTCTCTCTCTCTCTCTCTCTCTCTCTCTCTCTCTCGCTTTATTCACCTTTTCCTCTCCTCTCCTCTTTCTCTTTCTGCGATTCACTTTATCTGGAAGGTGATTATACCTCCCCCCTCTCACTTTCTTTCTCTTTCTCTCTTCACTCTCTCTTCTCTTCTCTTTCTCACTCTCGTGATCTCAATAAACATAAAAAAAGAAAGTAAAAAGAAAGAAGAAGAAGAAGAAAAAAAAATATATAACAACAACAACAACAACAATAATAATAATAATAATAATAATAATAATAATAATAATAATAATAATAATAAAAACTAAAATAAACTAAAACTATAAGAAATTTTATTTCCTCGACACCTGCGGCTGACCTCTCCAGGAGATGCGCGGGGCTCTCCCTCTGAGATCGGGCTTGAGGCAACAGTCGGAGCGCAGTCGTTTTGCATACTGGCCGGGGATCGAACTCGGGACCAAGAGAGTGGGAGTCAGCGCCTTATCCACTGGACCATCGCGTCAGTTGCAGTGTGAATGGTTTCAATAGGTCTATTTGAATAGATCATTGTGATGGATGTAGTTTATGCCTCTCTGTCTTTTCGGTCTCTCTCTGTATCTGTCTGTCTCTGTCTCTCTGTCTCTGTCTCTGTCTCTCTCTCTCTCTCTCTCTCTCTCTCTCTCTCTCTCTCTCTCTCTCTCTCTCTCTCTCTCTCTCTCTCTCTCTCTCTCTCTCTCTCTCTCTCTCTCTCTCTCTCCCTTCTCTCTCCTCTCTCTCTTCTCCCTCTCCCTCTCCTCTCCCTCTCCTCTCCTTCCCTCTCCTCTCCTCTCCCTCTCTTCTCCTCTCAGTTTCACTAAACTTCTAGAAAAGGTAATGTTCCAACAAGTTTATATTACATTAAACTTGCAGTTAAGAAAAATATTCATTTCGCTGCCAGGTACCGTCACTTACGTAAATTGCAACTAAAACGAATATTGTAGTTATTTGTGATAATGCTAATGATAATCGTGATTATAAGGATGATCATGATAAGTGTTAATGATGTTAATTATAGGAATAGTGTTGATAGTGATGATGATATGAACATTATAGTAATGACAAAACCAATGATGATAATAATATTAATAATGACAAGGATAATAACCACAATCATTATAATAATGATAACAATAATGATAATAATAACGATAGTAACAATAATGATTATGAAAATGATAATGACAATGGTAATGATGATGATGACAGTGATGATAATGATGATAAGGACAAAGTAACCGTAATAATAATAATCATAATGATAACAATGATGATAAATATAATAATGATAATACAAATGATAAACATTATGATAATGATAATATTAATAACAGAAGTTGTTGCTATAATTAATGATAACAACAACAACGACTTCAAAAGAACAAACAAACAAACAAGCAAGCAAACAAATACAAAAATCCCCCAAAGAAATGACTTTTCCGAAACACAACCACTTGTAGCACATAAAAGTCCTTCGTTAAAATTCTGCAATTTGAATTAAGAAAACTCAAGTTGAAGAATTAAAGACCAAGGACCATTGTTCTTGTGAATTAAAAGGAGTTTTTAGTCGTTTAATGAAGACAAAAATACGTTGCTGGAGAGAAGAATGAATGAATGAACTGCTTGTTGGATGGTTCGGTAATCAACGGAGGTGGTTGGGTTGTTGAGTGTTATTTCTTTTGTTATTTTTTGTGGTTGTGATTGTGGTGGTTGTGGGGAGGGGGGGGGCGAGGGGGTGATTGTGGTGGTGGTGGGGAGGGGGGGAGAGGGGCGGTGGGCGAGGGGGTGGTGGTGGGGAGGGAGGGGGGGGGGGGGTGATTTGTGGTGGTGTGGGGAGGGGGGGGGAGGGGGTGATTGTGGTGGTGGTGGGGAGAGGGAGGGAGGGGAGGGGGTGATTGTGGTGGTGGTGGGGAGAGGGGGAGGGGGGGGAGGGTGGTGATTGTGGTGGTGGTGGGGGGGGTTGGGGTGGGGGGAGGGAGAGGGGGAAGGGGTGGTTGTGGTGGTGGTGGGAGGGGGGAGGGGGGAAGGGGGTGGTGTGCGAGGGGGTTGTGGTGGTGGTGGGGAGGGGGGGGCGAGGGTGGTTGTGGTGTGGTGGGGGGGAGGGGGGGGGGGGGGTTGTGTGGTGGTGGGGAGGGGAGAGGGGGTTGATTGGGGTGGTTGTGGTGGTGGGTGGGGAGAGGGCGAGGGGGTGATTGGTGGTTGGTGGTGGGAGAGGAGAGGGGGGGGGAGGGTGGTGGTGTGGTGGGGAGGGGGAGAGGGGAGTTGTTGGGTAGATGGAGGGGGGTGATTGTGTGGTGGTAGGGGAGGGAGGGGGGTGATGATGATTGTGGTGATGGTGTAATGGTGATGGTGGTGGGGATAGATCTCCCCTTCCAGTCTCGCCTCTCTTCCTCCTCCCCCTCCCCTCAGTTTGTACCTACCTCCTCCACCTCTTCTCGCTACTTCCAGACTCCTTCACCTTTTATCTTCCTTCGCGAGGTCCTCAGCCTCCCGATCTCCGCTGCCTCCATCTATCTCTAATGCCTCCTTTTAGTTCTTTTTATCTATCTTTTCGTCATACATCTCTCCTTCATCTATCTCTCCTTTCCTTCGTGATTAATTTCTCCTTTTATCTCTCCTTTCTGTTTTTTACTCTTTCTCCTCTGTGTGGATTTCTCATTTCTCTTTGTGATATTTCTTTTATTTATGTTCTTTCTCTCTGTCTCTCTCTCTTTCTATCTATCTCTCTGTGTCTGTCTGTCTGTCTGCCTCTCCTTCTCTCTCTCTCTCCTCTCTCTCTCTTCTCTTCTTCTCTCTCTCCCTCCCCCCTCCTCCTCCCTGCCCCTCCTCCCCCTTCTCCTTCCTCTCCTCTCTCCTTTCTCCTCCCCTCTCGGCTACCTACCCTCTCCTCCTCCTGCCCCTCTCCTCTCCCTTCCTCTCTGTTTATCATCTATCTATCTATGCTGGTCCTCTCTGTCTGAAGCCTCTTCTTCCTTCCTTCCTTCGCTCCTTTCTTCTTCCTTCCTTCTTCCTTCCTTCCTCCTCTTCTTCCTTTCTTCCTTCCTTCCTTCCTTCCTTCTTCTTCTTCCTTCCTTCCTCCTTCCTTCCTTCCTTCCTTTCCTTCCTCCTTTTCTTCCTTCCTTCCTTCTCCCTTCCTTCTTTCTTCCTTCCTTCCTCCTTCTTTCTCCTTCCTCCCTTCTTCTTCTCTCCTTCCTTTTCCTTCCTTTGTCTGATCTATCGCTCCCTTTCTCTGCGTACCTGGCGTCTGAAGCTCTCTGGTCTCGACGCACTGTCTACTCGTTTAAATAATTACCTGTCTATCGATCTGTCTACTTAGCTTGATGAGAGAGAGAGGGAGAGGGGGTTAGGCAAGGAGGGCGGGAGAGGGGAGGGGAGGGAAGGGGGAGGGAGAGGGGAGGGAGAGGGGGAGGGAAGGGGAGGAGAGGGAGGAGGGGAGAGGGAGGAGGGAGAGGAGAGGGGAGGGAGGGGGAGAGGAGAGGGAGGTGAGGGTGGGAGGGAGAGAGAGAGAGAGAGAGAGAGAGAGAGAGGAGAGAGAGAGAGAGAGAGAGAGAGAGAGAGAGAGAGAGATGAGAGAGAGAAGAGAGAGGGGGGGGGGGTGGAGAGAGAGGGAGGCAGGGAGGAGAGGAGAGAGGAGAGAGAGGAGAGGAGGGAGGGAGAGAAGAGGGAGAGAGAGAGAGAGAGAGAGAGAGAGAGAGAGAGAGAGAGAGAGAGAGAGAGAGAGAGAGGAGATGAGAGAGAGAGAGGAGAGAGAGAGAGAGAGAGAAGAGAGAGAGAGAGAGAGAGAGAGAGAGAAAGAAAGAAAGAGAAAAGAAAGTAAGATAGAAGAGGAAAGATGGAGAACAAAAGAATGAATTCAGAAAAAATAAAAAATTTCAATACATGTATCTCAAAAGCTTCGATTCCCAGATAATAAAAAAAAAATTTGAACACCAACTCAAATGAACATTAGTTTCAATATGATACCTGGGTGAGCATTTAAATTTCTCTTTATGTTATATCTATTTTTAAATTTCTATTTCGAGAATTTCGAACGATGAACGATGAAATGATAGCTATTATAATATACATATTTCCATATATTTAGATATATTTACCGTATTGTAATATATATTTTTCCTTGTATTTAGATAGATTTGTCTATTTCATTGCTCATATGCACAGATACACTCATACTTACACACACATCTATTTAACTATTTATTTATCTACACACACACGCGCGCGCACATACACAGACGCACATACATTGGTATTAGCACGCACACACATATCTATCTATCTATCTACACATGCACCTATCTATCTATCTATCTGCATACAGATATCTATCTAGCTATCTGTCTATCTATCTATCTAGTATTATCTATCTACAAACATATTAACCTATCTATCTACAAACATATTAACCTATCTATCTAGAAAACATCTATATATCTATATATCTTTATCTATCTATCTGTCTATAAACATATTTATCTATTTATCTATCATATCTATCTATCTATCTATCTATCTACAAACATATCTATCTATCTATCTATCTATAAACATATCTATCTATCTATCTGTCTATCTATAAATCTATCTATCTATAATCTATCTATCTATCTATAAATCTATCTATCTATCTATCTATCTATCTATCTATCTATCTATCTATCCTAATCTATCACTATCTATCTATCTATCTATCTATCTATCTATCTATCCACACACACACATACAAACGCCCCACCTCGCCAATCTTCATATATAATTATATAACTTTACTTTTTTCTCTCTTTTCTCTCCACCTCATTCATTCTGTGTCCTCTCTGCGGCTATAATTATCTCTTTTCATCATCTCCTTTTAATGACTCTGGCCGGGGGGGGGGGGGGTTGTTAATGGTCGTTATAACGAGGTGTTAAGATGGATGCATTATAAACCTTTTACTTTTATCGTACAACTTGTCCAGCTTTTTTTTTTTTTTCTTTTTTTTTTTTTTTTTTTTTTGGCTAAAAGATAAAAGGCTAAGATTTTTTTTTTTTTTTTTTTTGCTAAAGATAAAAGGCTATTTTTTTTTTTTGGGGGGGGGGGGAGGGAGGAAAGAGAGTGAGATACAGATGGGGAAGGGGAAGGGGAGGGGGTGGGAGGGGGGAGGATAGGGAAGGGAGGAGGGGGGAGACAAAGAGGAGGAGGAGGAAGAGGAAAGGTAAAGGGAGGGGAGGGAGGGAGAGGAGGAGGAGGAGGAGGAGGAGGAGGGAGGGAGGAGTTGGAGAGGAGGGGAGGGAGAGGAGGAGGAGGAGGTGGAGGAGGAGGTGGTGGAGGAAGAAAGAGGGAGGAGGAGGGAGAGGAGGAGGAGGAAAGGTAAGGGAGGGGGAGGAGTTTGAGGAGGAGGGGGAGGAGGGAAGGAGGAGGTGAAGGAGGAGAGAAGGAGTTGAGAGAGGAGGGAAGAGGAGGAGGAGGAGGACGGAGGTGGTAAGGATAATAGGAGTGAGGTGAATGTAAGTGTTTAT